TGTAAATTGAGTCAGCAGTAGATCTCCTTGATTACCAAGGAAACTTTCGGGCGAAGTTGTTGATGCCAAGAAAGATGTAAGAAAGTCATCAACATTTCAACAGTACGAAAGATTAGCCGCATTTTCGATTCCTTGTCATTCGCTGTCTGATTTAAAATGTATTTTATTGTGCTTGCAATGGAATCTTATAAAATATTGACTGGAAACCTTGCTTGCTTATGTGAAATACGAAATACTACGCAATAAGACATTTTGATAGATAGATATGTAATTCGATAGATAGATAAATAGATAGAAAGATAGATAGATATATAAATATGTATATATATATAGATAGATAGATAGATAGATAGATAGATAGATAGAAAAATAGATAGGTAGATAGATAAATAGATAGATAGATAGATAGATAGATAGATAGATAGATAGATAGATAATTAGATATATAGATAGATAGATAGGTAGGTTGATAGATAGACGGATAGATAGATATTTAAGTTTATTTAAATGGTTTTTTATTTCAGTAGTGTAGTTTCCTCTTTAAAACAAATGTGCACCACATTTGCACAAGAAAATTTGAAAATAAATTATTATCAATGTCACTAAAGTTCAGGAGGCATAAATGATTTTTATGCGATGTCTGATTTGGCTGACACCTGCCCAACATTTTCAAACTTTCTGTCAGTCAATCAAAGGCTCGAAATGGCGTTTAATTTTTATAGCAGACGCTTTTCCGCCTCACTTCTCACCAATCCGAAAAGAAAACTTAAAAAAAGCAAAACAAAGGCAGCGAAAACAAAGCCAAACAATGAGGGAAAATAACAAAACAAAAGCGTCGGCATTTCCACGCCGCCAAGCAAACACACCAAAATTTTCAAAAAAAGAGAGTGGGGAACATAGTAAGGAAAAGGCGGCAGAAAGAAAAGCCGCACATTAAATAATTTGAGAACATTTTCGGAACGCTCTTCCCCTTTTTTGTGGCGTCAGAACTTTTTGTTGTGAACTTTTCTGAGGTCGCTCGCTGACATCTAAATTTATCTATAAACAAGAACCACAAATCTACTTTTTCATTATTTATTTTTGCTTGTTTGTTCGTTTGAAAACGAAAACATTATGACGGGCTAATTGAATTAATGTGAATTTTGTACGCGTCTTTATTTAAATACGCTGGTTTCTTGTTTTCCATTTCGAATTAACAAAATTTCCGTTTATTCCTTTGTGGTCTGGTCAAGGTCTGTCGCTTTAATTAGCACATATCTGTGGATTATTTGCGCTGCACTTAATGACACTCGATTGTCCAGATTAAATCGTATTCGTAATTAACACCCAAAGGGCATCGTTAACATCATTTAGGACAGTTAAGACAGCTCCAGAAAAGCGCACTGCGAGTGGTCCACCCATCCCTCTTGGCCAGGTTAAAACCCGTTTTTGGCCCGGACCTCTGCACTTGTGATCATCGCGAGGAATGTGAAGATGGCAAGTGGACAATGCAGATACGATGACAAAAGGCAATTGGAATATGAAGTGCCCAGTGGAATGAAAAGAGGTGGAGCGAAACTATCGACAATGGAATACCCTGTACTCTAAAAACTTTTTTTTATTTTTCCAAAGTTTTCCAAAGATTCTTAGGTTTTTTAATTAAACAAAATCAGTTTAATTTAAAATTTATAAAAACAAATATATGTTTCACATTATTTAAAAGTCTATTACCGAGAGCTGATGGTATTGTGAGCAGTGTTGCCACTAAAAAAAGGACAGATGTGAAATAAAACGGAAACAAAGAACCATTTATTTAATTTTCAAACGCAAAAAGCAGGATACAGTTATACAGATAATTTAATATAAGCTGAGTTTCTCTGGGTATATCTTACAAAAAAAAGGGTTTGTCCTGAAAAAGGCTAGATATGAAGAGAGTTTCTCTGCTTTAATTTATTGTTTTTAATGGTCCCTCTAAATGTTGTAGAATTCAGGCAATTTACAAAGTATAACATCATGTTCGAAAATATTTATCGACACTTAAAGGAATTAAAAAGAACCGTGGAGTAAGCATTCTATAGAGTCTTTCCTCCGCGACTTTTCCACTGCGTCTCGAATAATGCAGAAATTGAAGAGTCAACCGCAGCTGGCAGTAAAAAACATAAATGCCTTTAATTAAATTGCCTGTCTCGCTGTCCTGAATGGCCAGCTCCTGCTCCGCCTGCTCCTTCCCCGTTTGGGCCATGTAGTTTTTGGCAACGTTGCGTGTGAGCCCGAAACAAGTTCGCCGCCTGATGGGCAGTGAAAATTGATGGGCCGCCTCAATATCTTCGGCTGTCTTGTAACATTTTGTATCGCTGTATCTGCGGCGAATGCTGCATGAAATTTAATGAGATTTTCGTCTTGCTTTTTGCTTGGCTCGGCTTTTTGTATCATAACTGTTTGTATTAATTTTTTTTTGAATGTAGGTCAAACATTTTTGGCATTTCTCGAGTGCCTGTCGCCGCTTAAAAGGGTAACCGAAATCGGGCAATGTACACGCGTTGTTTGAATTGCATTCCAATAGCGAAGTATTGGGCATTACTTTGATTTCGGTTTTTGCTTTGCACTTCTAGGCCTAGCCGAATCACGAGTGCACTACCTGTCTGTGGCTCTAATTGATCCCCTGGGCATGGGCGCAATTAGCTGGCCAACTGGCAAGTTGGCCCAAAGCAAACACTCGACCAGTTGTCCACTTCAAGACACTCTGAAAGCTCGACGAGACTTTTATTTTTCGTCTGTCGCATCTCGCAGCTGCTGGACTGGATCTTGACCATGTCTAACAATAGTCCAAATTAGAAGTAGACTTCGACAATGGCAAAAGCGACGAGAATGACAACAAGCTATGACATAGCTATTCGGAGAGCGTTCTCTCATTGCAAATTTTTGCAAATGCAATAGCAGTAATTACATTTTTGGCGGTTGGAGGAGGGGAAGTGTAGTTGAGTGTCTGAGGAAGTTTGTTTTTCAGAATAAGCCACACTGCGAAATCAGTATTTGCTTATACTTTGCCGGTTTTTGTAAACATTAAATGCTTTCTTTGAATTTTTAGTTGTAGCTGAACTTTTCAGTAATTTACAGGTAGTAGAAACATAAAAGAATAGAAAAGAATAGTCGAAAGTATTAGTAAAGGCATTAGTTAAAAATACTTTTAACTTAAAGTTTCCATTTAAAGAGAGCTACAGAGAAATAATCTTACTTATCTCATGTGAAGCCTTTTAAATTTAAATGTGTCTTTCCGTAGGTGTGGAAATGAATAAACTATATAAGTTATAATTCTGAACAGGTTTTAGTAAATAACCAATAAACAATCGTTCTCATGCACTCACATGCTTTTTTCAAATATTCAATTTGTAATGTTGTTATAATACAAACACTTTAAGCTTGCTGATCATAAATAACTTTAAACCAATTTCTTCCAATTACAAAATCTTTTTTATATTACATACTACATTTAGCGAAATTCGTACATCAATAAAGTTAAACTAGAAAACTATTCAGAGAATTTCTAAGTCGGGTCGACTATAATTGAGTACATGATTTAAGATATGATCACCGCACAGTGGGATCGATTTCATTTTCCGACCGTCGGAGACCACTGTGCCACTTTTCGGGGGCGACAATTGCTGCGGGCAATTAACAATATCTATATATACGATATTTCTGATTCGCATATATCGCTGTTTTCTGCTTTTGGCGGCGTGACGTAGGCGAAATGCTGAAAACGTGCTAGATACTTTTGTATCTCGGTATCTTTTGCTTTCGGGGCGTGCGTGTGCTGTTGATACTGCATCCGTTAGGTGTGTGTGGCTGAATGCAAACGATGTGAATTTTCGGACAACTACTATATTTTGGACGGCGCTGCCGATGCCGACGCCTCTGCCGACTTCGACGCGTGCGTCCGGTGCGCAGTTGGCTTTGATCAGCACTACGATTTGGGGGATTATTGGGGGGCGGTACGGGGCAAGAGTCTTTCAACTTTGTTTGCATTGGGGTACCTATGTTTGTGTGCCTATAAAAGCGGCAACATTATGTGGCCACAATTTCAGAGATTTGTATAAACAATTTGCGCGGAGCGGTTCATTTTGCAACATTTAGATGTGATTTTGACGATATGTCCCGTCCATTACAAATTAAAATCGAGTTGGCTGACTTATTGAGACTGGAATTTATAATTTTAATGTATTTTTATTACATTTTGATGTCTGGTTATTGGCCTAACATTTATGTATTAGCCACAGACATAATGGGTCGGGGAGGAAGTAAAGTTTCCGTTTCTGTCAGCCCACAAATTATGCGATAAAACACACATAAATGCGGGGCCCTCGAATGCGTATTCGGTATTATTATTGTATTTACTAGATTTTTATGATATCATAAACGAGGTCGGGCAACATATTGAGAGTCAGATTTGCGTTAATCGTTTGAGTAAATATATTTATTTCTTTTAAGTGTTTTTTAATGGAGTGGCGTGGATTGTTGTATTTATTTATGCTAATATAATGACGTCAAATCTGACAGTCTGATTTCCCCCAACCAGGCGAATCAGTAGCGCAGAAATATAAATTTGATTAGCAACAATTCTGGTTGTGCTATATTTTACACTTGGTTTGCAAAATAATTTGTTTTTATTTGCGAGGGGCAGAACCCAGTAATTGATACAAGCGATTTGCTTTGTTAGTTTGACAAATTGCATGTGGCTGATTGCATCGAACATAAATCAGGCAGACTAACTGAATATTCACCGAGGTATATATTTATCTGTTCGCTTTTTTTCGATGGGTGTGTGAGGGCGTAATAAAGTCAACACAGAGATAAAAAGTCAATTGCATAAAAAACAAATTATAGGCTAGGGCGTGGACGCTTTTGATAATGATAAACGAAAAAAAAGTTCCACAAAGCGAAATTTATAAACAAATTAGGGGAAAGACACTCGTTTGGTTATGCACTGGTTCTATAATATTTGATATATATTTTTTCGTTACTGAGTATAACAATTGATTTTCGACAAACACTGTTAGCGGATATTAATCTCGATATCTGAGTCTTCGATTTTGATCTGCGTCCGATAAACACACGATAAGCCGGTGGTGGATGCTCAGGTGGAAGGCACGCGAGCGCGATAAGAAAATGCGGCAGCAGGAGCAGCACTACGTCCGCACATGCTGCCTGCTGGGGATAAACTGGAACTGGATTTTCGGACTCGGAGTTGATAGCAGCAGAGCAACAGAGCAGCGGAATCACAGAGACACCGAGATCCAAAACAGAGACACCTCTAACCCGTCCAGCGGCAGCAGCAACAACCACATTGGCCCACACCGAAAGCTTTCAGGCCCCGAAGAAATCTGCGCATGAAAATTGGCCAAGCGAGAGAAAATGAGAATGGCAGAGTGGTTTAACAGGAAAAGCTCGCGGAAAATTTCCCGCTGTTTTCTCGAGGAAATTGGCTAAAAGCTTGGCCAGCCAAAGAGCTTGTGGTAACAAAAGCTAAGACAAAGTTGGGAAAAGCTCCGAATAAAAATCAGAGTCTGCTGACTTAATTTGTAATTTACCATTTAAAAATTATTTTCAGAGCCAAATTTTAACAAAAAGCGTTGATTAAATAAATGAAATTACATTTACTTAAACTTCATTTAATCACTACTTGTTTTGTTACCTAAACTGATAAACGATTGGAAAATCAAAGTAAATATCTGGATACTGGGGTTAAAGTTTTGTATTAAATATTTAAATTAAACTTTTAATACAAATCATATCAAACTGCTTGATTTAATAAATAAATATGAATAAAAACAAAGCGACGGAAACCTAAACTGAATATTTTTCCCTTTGCTTTTAATACATTGCGGGTTTCATTCATTATTTAAGAATCATGGTTCATTTAAATACTTAAAAAATTAATTTGATTACAGAAAATATTTAAAGCTATCATGAATATCAATATATTAAATATATTCAGACTTGATTAAATATTTTCAAATTAAATTATACAGTTTAAAATTATTTAATTTGAATAAGTATTTCGATTTTCTGAAATCAATGTGCAGGTATTTATTTTCATTTTTCTATCGCTTAAAATTAGAAATTGTCTGATTAGGTTCAAGGCTGGTGTTAAGATAAGATTAAATGTATTGAATATGAAATACTAAATAGTTTTTCGCCAAAAATATAAATAATTTTTGAATTTTAAAAATTATTTCAGAGCTTAAAGTTTATTACTCAAAACAACTTAATCAAAATTTTTTTATTTCCTTGACGTCTAAATGTTCTACTTTTACAGTAAAATAGTTTATGTATGTTGCAGTACTTTAAATAACACCTAATGGCTTGCACATTTAATATTTGCGAATGGAAAAACTGGAACATATAAAACCATTTCCCACTATTTTTCCGCTGGATTTCCCTCTCCCAAAATCAAGGGCTCTCTGCTCGCCTATGGCTTCGCTTTCGGAGCATTGTTTTTTTCTCTTTTTTGTGGCTTTGTTGCTGTTTACAGAGGGGCGCCTTCAACAGGTTGCCACCCACACTCGGGGGTTTTTCCTGCTGCTGCTGCTCGGGAGTCAAAACAAAATGAAAAGCATTTTCAACAGGGCGACCCTTGGGGCCAGCATACACACACACTGGTTCATATATAATCATACAGATACTTTTATAAAATAACCCCCACACACTTACGCCCCTTATTGAGCGGCCCTCTGAATAAAAATATTCTAAAAATTTCTTGTTTTTCTTAAGTTGTACAAGTGTTTGCAACTTCCTTTCCCAGTTCCTAAAGCCCCTCCTTCTTCCCTTTCATGGACTTTTGTTTTGCATATTTTTGCTGACTTACCAGGCATCAAAAATAAACAAAGCCGCTCGAAGATTTTAAGTAGCATAAAGTATCTCAGCGACTTACCTGAAAGAAAGCAGATGGAAAACAGTTAGCAAAACAGTTATAATACGAGTAATAATTGTAGCAACCTTATCGGGGATTTGAAATGGAAAGCCCTGTTGTGATGGGGTGGAATCATTAGGGATAGGGCCGAACAATAAGACATCTCATAGAAGCGGTCAGGCCATCAGCATTCATTGAGGGAAACATGAGACTGCGGCATCGCGTGAACATGTCTTATAATTAAAGGCGAGTTTTATCATCCATGTAATACGTGAAATGGCACAAAGAAAAGATTAAGGGGATATTTTCCTTCTTTTGTTGCCATTGCACCAGTTAATACTAATACCTTAAAATTAAGTTTGAAAGGACTTAATATAGTACTTTCAATGTAATCCTTGGTTAAATTAAATATGTATACCGTTGAGCTTTCATAACTCTAACTAGCGACCTTCTTTCATACAATTCTGTATTCCTATTTCGAGCTTCCATATCCCTAATGTTGTCCCGCGCTCATTTTGCCTTCTATAAGTTAAATTTGTAGATTTTATTTATTCTGTCGGTCCGTTTCTATAAGGAAATAAAATAATTATAAGTTATACCAAAAAATACTTTTCTAACGATTGTTTTTTGAGTTTTATTGGATTAATAATCCAAAAACAATGGTTAAGGTGTACTTATTCGTCGGAAAGTATGTAACAGGTAGAAGGAAGCGTTTCCGACCCCTAAAGTATATATGTCCTTCTGTCCGTATGTCCGTCTGTCCGTATGAACGCTGTGATGTCAGAATCTATAAAAGCTGCAATACTAGGATTAGGCATGCCGATTCTGGAGATTACTGCGCAGCGCAAGTTTGTTTTGTCAGTGTGCCACGCCCACTCTAACGCCCACAAGCCGCCAAAACAAAATACAAATTTTAACTGTTCTCATCAATACTTATTGATTGAACCGAAAAGGTTGCCACACCCACTCCAGCGACCATAACAATGTCTGCCGTCCACATACCCATATATTGAGATCGCGATTACAATATCGCTTTGCTGCTTGCATATCTCCATTTCCCTTTGGTCCTTTGAGCTAAGTCACGGGTTTTTGATAGTCGAGGTACTCGACTATAGCGTTCTTCCTTGTTTTGAGTTATAAAGAATTAGAGTCGCAAAATTAATTCACAGGAGTTTAGATAAACTCCCAACCTCTAGAGTTATGAGTTTTGGAAGTATTCATGATCAGGAATATTAGCAAAGCCGATCTAGCCTTGTCCATCTGTTCAAAAGCTACTTGTTTCAGCCAAAATCTGCCTAACGTAAAAATTGTTGAAGATTTTGTTTCAGTGTAAAATTATATTGGTTTTATATGTCAATAACTTAAATATAATAATAATTTAAAAATATGAACTCAATGTGACTAGCGGGATAATTATAAGTGTGCACTTGTAGCGCTGGGATATAAATAAATAAATATATACCTTTCTATATGCTTGGTGCCGTAAGGATTTGAAAACTCCAATTCTTCATGGTCAGTCTAATACTGAAACCATGCATTGCCTTGCTTAAGTAATAAAATTATGATTTATCGCTTTAAATAGAAATTATTTCCTGGTGCATATATAAAGCTGCAGTCCCGTCTGACTAGTTCAAAACTTATACCATGAACTGGACAATTTTGATCGCCGTCTGTCTGATGGCTCCTGTGGCCATGTCAGTGATGATGCCTCCGGGCTGCAGGTGCGCACCTCCTGCCTGCAAACCGGGTGACAAATTCTTCACGTGCACGGTTCCAGCGTAAAAGTAAAGAAGTAAAAATGGAATCAATATATATTTAATTATATAAATAAAAAAATTAATAGTCGAAATACAATTACTACTTCACTACATTTCAGCAACAGTTTTAAGCTGTAAAGAATTAGATTCGCAGAATTTAACTGTCTCTTACAACCAAAATTAGAGTTAGTTCAGTGCAGTTCCGAAAGTCCTTCGTCACCCTCGATTGAGGCAAAGCACCCAATACTGAACAATTTGGTTTAAATACTTTATGACGCATATGAATTATTTTGAGCACTTCTTTTATGTTTTGTGTACAATATTTATTTAAAAGAACTTAATCTACTATTTTAATGGTATATGACACCAAGTATTAATTTATTTTCTGTGTATTCGCAATTGAGGTCCTGTCTGCGGCCCAAGAATTGGAAAGTCCTTGTTCTCTTATTACTGTCAGTGTCTGTGGATCGAGTTCTAAAATCTACCTCAACCGTTGCCAACTGAATTGCTTAGGAAAAACGGAAGGAATTACTTGGACTAAAAACGGATATTGCTAGTAACAGGAATATAAAAATCTTAAAAATGTATGTATGTAAATGTACAAGGACGCCGATATTGTAATTCAATTTTTTAAGGCAATTTTTTAATTTTTACAGACATGTCTGTCCGTCCGTATGAACGCTGAGATCTCGAAAAATATAGAAGCTAGAAAGTTGGGATTTGACAAGCAGATTTTTGAGCTTATTACGCAGCCTAGTTTGATTCCACAATCTCCCATTTCTGTAAAAACAACCCACATTTTTGAATATTTAAAATACACTTAAATGAGATTTTGTTTCGTTATTAATTTCCAACTACATGCCAAAAATTCAATTCGGGCCGTTCATTAAAAAGTTATAAGCAAAAAAGTGAACAATCTTGGGAACAGAGGCTTTGCTTCTTGTATGAATATATCTCCCTCGCACTCCCTAAGTGCTCCAAGTACACTAAGCTGAGTAAGGGGTATCTGATATTCGATGGTATCGAATGTAAAGTTCTCTCATGTTTATCATTAGATTCACTCCTCACCTTAAGACTAATTTTAAGCTTCAGGGCGAGTGCATATCATATGCTTTTGTACTCTCTTTCTACATATGATTTTAATTGCATGTTATGGTTTAAGCTACAAGTTAGCTTGGAAATAATAATAAATTTAATAATGATGATTTTTTAAGCAATTACAACTTTGATTGAATAAAAAAAAATATTTAAAGTAAATATGACTAACATCGTTTTTAAATTTTTTACCCTTATTTATATATTCTAAAATTCTATACTTTATTTATTAAAGATGACGGTAAAGTTTACCAAACTAAGACTAGCATAAGTAGTTGGTTGTGCTAGCTACGAGGCCGCTGACTAGCTATTTTCATATTTAAATTCAAAATATATTTTCAATTTAAATCAAGCCGGTAAATATAATTGCATTAAATTCAAATATGAAATACGAAACTTTTAATATAATATACAGGTATTTGTTTGGGTTTTTCCATTGTTCTTTCAGTGTACTTGGAAGTCTCTGAATACCAAATTTGTAACTCGTGAAGAGTAAGTTATAACTCTTATTAATTAATATTTATTATTTAATACATGCATAACAAATAATTAATTTTG